CAGGTGTTTGATCAGCCTTCCCGCCAAAATGGGCAGCAGGTGTTTGATCAGCCTTCCCGCCAAAAAGGGCATCAGGCACGAATACGGATAATGATGCGGATCATCACAGGGTAAACCGAACAAACACGGAAGGTTCAGTAGAACACATATAATATGAATCCAAAAAAAAAAAAAAAAAAAGGGTCACCGAGGCGGCTACCAGAGAGACCATGCATGGATGGCCACGTGGCAGACACTGAGAACAGCACCTGGCATATACTACATATATCAATTATAGGCAAGGAGGGGGGGGGTTGAACGCACGGTCATTTTGGGTCTGTATTTCGGCCAACTTTCAGTCTAGATACAGCGTCAAGGACATCTCAGCCATTAATTACATTTTTCATAAATAGAAAAACGATAAAGTGACCTCTACGCCTGTCGAGCTATCTGAGAAACTATGTACTGCCCCCCACAAATGTTGCTCATAGTTCACATTGGAGGTCCCTTTATCGTTTCTATTTTTTTATTTTGTAATTAACGGCTGAAATTTGTAATTAACGGCGGCTGAAATTTATAATTAACGACTGCAATTTGTAATTAACGACTGAAATTTGTAATTAACGGCGGCTGAAATTTGTAATTAACAGCGGGTGAAACTTGTAATTAACGGCGGCTGAAATTTGTAATTAACGGCAGCTGAAACTTGTAATCAACAGTGGCTGAAAATTGTAATTAACGGCGGCTGAAATTTGTAATTAACGGCAGCTGAAACTTGTAATCAACAGTGGCTGAAATTTGTAATTAACGGCGGCTGAAATTTGTAATTATCGTTTCATTGGAGCACACCGGACATGTCAACTATAAAAAAAACAGATCACGAGTTCAAGACATGTCGAAATAATATCAACGAAATCAGATCCGTACAAAGTAACAACACGAGCTACCTCCTTAGAAATATCAAAATAATAATAATGATAATAATAAAAATAAATTAAAATACATTAATATCAAAATAATAATAATGATAATAATAAGAATAAATTAAAATACATTAAAAACTCCCATCAAAGTGTCACTCACACACCGAATTCGTGGTGGCGGTGTCTGTGAGATTCCTTTTTTTTTTTTTTGACCGTCTGCGGGGTTTTAACTAATTCAGTGTCACTAACAGACCTAAAAAAAAAAAAAAAAACAAAAAAAAAACAAGAAAGTCCTGACGGAATTAGGTAGTTCGTTTGTATTAGCTCTGGTCGAGATGTATGTGGACAGGGACAGGGCTCTGTTCATTCAGTTGAGCTTGGGGACCTGTCTTGAGCGCCGGGCCCTTTGTGGATAAAGAGAACGTTGGCAAAAAAAAAAAAAAAAAA